TATACTCCTCCAAGCTCTGCTCTCCATCCCAAATCTGCCTCTGCATACTGCTTTCCTAAGAGGCCACTTGCAGGCCCTGAACAAAATTCTGTGTCACTGTCCTATCTGCTGTCATCTTCTTTTCCATTAGCAGCATGGTAGCTAGTGATGCTGAAATTATAATGCCTGTCATCTGCCTCTGAATAGAGCATCTCTTGAGTTAAACCAGTCCTGCATGTTCTCCCTTAGGCCCCAGTGCATGGCTTCACATTTGGCTCCTTTTTGATCTCACAGCCATAAAAGGTGAGTTTTATTTTCTTTCTGTGAGCAGATATTAAAATTCTGGACCACCAGCTGCAGCCAGGGAAGAAGTATGAGCTCACAAAATGATGCTTGCTCAATGGTTTCGTTATCTAAGTAGATTGGAACATGATTGTCTTAATGGCCTTTTCTATCCTCATGCTAAGATGAGTAATACATTTTAAAGAATCCTTTCTGGACTTTGGGGAATTAATAAAACTGTAAATAAAGCAGCTCTTAAAATATTTCCGTCTTTGCATTGGGTGGCAGAACTATTTTTCTGCCCATTTGAACTAAACCTCCGTTATGGAGACGGAGCAACGCTCAGACCCAGACTGGAGCTATGATAATTCTTTGGAGTTCTGTTCCAAACCAGGGATGGGGACTATGTGATCTCTTTGTGACTTAATACTGCTAAGCAATTAACTGATCTGTGGTTGCTAGGACATGGTTGAGCAGAGCTAGCTAAAGAGCTGTCTCTCAAAGGTGAGTACTAAATTCTTCATTGTACTTTCAGGGCTGTGGCTCTGGTGTGGGTGGACAAGCAGAGACCCATCTGAGCTGTGTCAGGCTATCTAAGCCCTGGGCTGAGGGAAGGAGGAGACTAATGGAGGAGAGGAGAGGAGAGGAGATGAAAAGTGCACTTGAAGTGTTTTGCAGGCTCTGTGCTAAGAGAATGAGAGAAGGACACAGGCAAATGATAAGGGCTCTTTACTGCGGTGAAGTGATTTCTCTCCCTGTTGCCTGCTTGTCTGGAGGTGAAGACAGGTTTCACTCTGTTATTCAGTTAAAGGGCATGGTGTAGACATCAGGAAGCTGACCAAGGCAGGCTGGAGGACCAGCCTTACACACAGTCACTCTAAAAGTGCATGCTCTGAAAAACAGCAGGCATGACTGTTCCCAGCAGCAATTTCTTCTGCACATTCCCTGTCTGAAGCTGAATCTTAGCTAGGAGCAGGGAATATTCTCTTAAGTGGCACTAGCTTTATATTTCAGTGATTAAGGTAAATGAGACCATTTGCAGTTTCTGAGAAGGGTTTACTTGTCTGTCCTAATTGTGAGTCCCTCCTGCACCAGGCAGGGCAGTCAAGCTCGCGGTTGCTGGAAGACCACTGCGAGAAGTCAGTATTTCGAACAGCCACAGGATGGCATAATTTCTTCATGCTAGTGCAGGAGAAACTTCTCTGCAACCCGCTGTTCTCTGTGGAAAGACCTTTTAGGGGTTAACCAGAGCCTGTCCTACAGCTTTGGAAGCTGGGACTCCTCAGGTAATGGGGTTTGTTTGCCTTAAGGAACTGGCTGTTCTGGTTTCAAGGCTCAGCCTGGTTGGGATAGTCCTGTAAAAAAAAAAAAAAAATCACATTCTCTTTTACCCTTGTTTTGCTGCAAAACCCAATCCTGTAACAGTGATGCTTCAGGTTCTTGAAACCTTTGCCTTGCCCTAAGATCACTTAGGTTTGCAACAAGCCTAGAGGCAGAATCCTTTCTTCCTTGGCATCAGTGTTGATGGGGACTCTCCTGTTGCTGGGTCCCACCAGCCAGGATACATCTATTGTGAAACATCTGGGGTGCAATACAGCCTGTGCTGCTATGGGGAGAGAGGTGGCAAATTCTTCACCCACCTCCCCACAGTCCCTGCATTTATCCAGGAGCAGGGAGAAGGCGTGCCTCCTCCCAAAGATTCTGCACTCTGAATGGTGTGATTTGGAGAGATGTGTCTTATTTCACTGGTTAGTTGCTTGGAAAGCAGCGGTGTTACTTCTGTTTGCTGCTCAAGGCACAGTGCCTTGTTGACTGAATAAACAGAGTAATAGTAAAATTCTCCCATCTAAGTGGTGTTTAATGGGATTGTGTGAGCAGTTTCTGCATCACAGTCATCTCTGGACTGCTCCAACATGCTCAGCTTCACCCCTGCCTGTTTCTAACCCAGGAACCTCCCCTTCCCTCTGCAGCCCATGCTACCCAAGAGCACCTGACCCTGAATATGGTGTGCAAGGCTGCCATCCTGAGAGAAGTAAGGTGCGCACTGATCATTTCTCCCCCCGCCAAGTGTGTCTCTAACCTTTCTAGCTGCTTGTTGCTGCAGTCCTGCACATAAACTACCAGGGCCTCAGCTTTGTGGGCAATGTGCATCTTGGTGCATCATCCAGCTGAGAAGCATGAGAAGGAAAGGCTCTACCCAGCAGAGGTGTGTGCCTGGTCCTGTGACTTGCCCAATGCAGATGACTGTGATGCTATGAAATACTTACCTGATCAAAACTGACTGGGGTTTACGTTGCTGACCCTCTACAAGGAAAAAAACCTCTCTGTAGCCCACCTCCTGCCGTGCACAAATACTTCCCGCTACCTTTTGCCCTTGGGTAGAGCGGCTTGGCTGTGTTCACTAACAAGGCAAGGCCATTAACCTTGATTAAGCTGTTTCTTTAAGAAAACATCTCTGAGCTGCACAGCTGGCTGCAGGCAGAGACTGTACAGCTGCCCACTGAGCCCTCACAGTGTCTCATCTAGGGCCAGGATACTATACAAAAAAAGATTTCCCCAGGAAAACAAACACGACTGAGAGCCAGAGACAAGGCATTTGTTTGCAGTTTGAGAGTCATTTATTTTTAGTTTAAAAAAACAGCTGCAGAAAAATATTTTTTTTTTTTCCCTCTGTTGTATGGACTCTTTAGGAAAATAGAAGGTTGATACTGAAATGCAGTTATGGGGGGCAGTGTGGAGGTGGCTGGAGAGTGGGGACCCATGCAGTGGGGTTTCTGTACCATGCATTTCCTGCGGCTGTCGTTGCTCTTTTGCTTTTGCCTCAAGAGGCAGCTGACTGAGTGCATGGTTTGGCTACAACAGCAGCTTCCAAGCAAGTCAGCCCCCCCTGCTTTATGGGGTGCAGAGGCTGGGACCATCCACTGGTCTGGTGGATGAGGGCCCGGTTGTATCCTGATCCCTTACTGCTCAGTCTGAATGATGATTTTGGAGAAATCTTGACATTTAGGCCTGGCTCTGAACTCCCCAAAACCTGGATCAGGTATGTTGTGTGTGTGATCAGACATTTTCCTTGACAGTTCTCTGGTTCTTGTGGAAACTGGCTGCCCTCACCTGAAACACTGCTCACTGTGACTTCCAGAGAAGGACCTTCTGGCAGGGAGCTGTGCAAAGCCCAGCAGCTCTATACCAGGTAGGCAATGCTCTGCCAGCACTTGCTACCTTCGTGCCCCTGCTTGTTTAGGTAAGCTTCTGGCCTCCCATGGTGTTTCCCTTTAATCAGGGGCTTCTGGTGTCTCTGGATTGCAACAGGAGCATCTGCATGAGTGCTTTCCTGCCCATGGGAGGAGGCTGCTTTGCTCACCCGGTGAGCATGGAGGCAGGAGGGCTGGGAAAAGTACCTGAATGGGGAAAAGCAGGGAAGGAATAATACAAGTGTAGCGCTGGTTCCCCAGGGTCCTGATTGGACTGGGGGTTTGAGACAGAGACCAGAGCTACTCCTGCCTGTTTCTCCCTAGGCTTAGGTGTGGCAAGTCCTATTTTTGTATAGCATTATATGATACTTCCTGTTTTGGAAGAGAAGGAAGACACTTATTTTGATGGTAACATAGCAAGCTAGAAAAGAAGGTACATATGGGGTCAATTTCAACAGCTATGCAAGGAGAAGCCTGGCCTCCCAGCTGTTCCCAGCACAGCCACACACAGCCAAACCCCATGACGTGGTGTTAGTATCACCACCCCATCCACATCAGACAAAACAGGCTGCGCTGGGACTGGGTGGCACAAGCAGATGCTTCTAACTGGTGGCTCTGCTCCCTGCCAGGGTGGGCCCTGGGAGCTGGGGGAAGTTGGCATTGCCCTTGCCTGGGCTGGAAGTGGTTGTGTCTGGCAGCTCCATCCAGGCTTGCCTACTTTGGTTTGGCTGCTTGGCCCCTTGATGTCTGGTTCTGGGTGTCAGCTCTGGTCTGCTCCAGCAGCTTAAGAGCTGGAAGAAAATGGGAGAAAAATATCCAGTGTACAGATGCAGGGCAAAACCCAGATGTGATGGGGCTTCTCATCACATGCACACATCTCTTGCTGGTAAAGCAAGTTCATGGAGACAAAGCCTGGTGGATCAGAGAGCAGGGAGCAGAGGAGACCCCCAACTCCTCAGCAGTAGGCTGGGCACTCAGGCTTAGGGGGAGCAGAGGATGAAAACCAGAGTAAGTGTGAGAGCTGCGTGCTGTGCCTGGCCAAGGCATCGTGTGTCCAAGGGAGATAAAGGTGGAGAGGGGTGCAGGGTCCAGCTGTACAATGCATCTCTGGATAAGGAATGACCGTGGGCATGAACTTTACTTCTACAGCAAACCCCAGAGCTGGCTGGCTTGACAGCTGTACCGAAGCCCTCTGCGTGTCTAATGTGTGGCACAAAGGCTTGCAGAGAGAGGGGACAGCCAAGTGTGCTGGGAAAGCGTGTCTGCTGCTTCAATACCACTTTGGTGTGCCTAGCCCCATAACATAGGGGCCTTTGGTCCTGCTCTTCTTTAGTAGTCATTCAATAAATAACCCTAATGCCCATAGCTAAGTCTTTACACAGCCTCGGTTTGTGTTTCCACTCTTGCAGTAGCATGGTGGGCTCTTTAAAGGCAAATCTGTATAAAACAGTCTTTCAAGGAAGATTTTTTTTAGTTTTGTTTTTTAAGTGCTGGTGCAAAAAGGTCAGTCTTGAAGCCTCCTCTCTCCTTCCTGCCTCTAGCTTAGGTGGCAATGCATCCTTCTGCTTTGCTCTGTTAAGATGGTGTCTTGAGGTCTCTAAGGCTGGGCTGAAGGCATCTTCAGATGTTCGCAGCTGCCTTTGTTTTGGTGGCCAGGGAGATGGCACATTGTTGAGCTGTTGGGTAACTCTGCACTTGGCTTTCTTTGCGTCTCCAGTGTAAGCTGGGTTTGGATGAAATCTAGACAGTCAAGTTGTGCTATCTCTGTGGCAGGGCAAGCAAATGCACCATGCTTGTGCTTGCTTCCCATGTGGCTGTCTGTATTTGTGCAGGGGGGGTGTGCAGGCAGCTCGGTCTTTTTGTGCATGTGGTCCTATGCACCCTTGTCAGTGCCACAGTGCATGTGCTTGCATACAAGTGCAGAGAGAGAGCCTCACACCCAGCTCACTGCATGCCAGCCCAGTGCATGTGTGCTGTGCTTATGGTGGGAGGTACATACAGTCTGGTGGCAGGTCACCCTTGTGCTCAGCAGAGCACTTGATTATATGCATGCCTGTTGTTTGGGGGTTCTGCTCTCAGGCACACTGTCATGGTGGGGGAGAAGGGGCTTGCATATACCTGTGCCTGACTGCCTTGCTCTCTGCTGGCTCTTCAACATGCTGGCTGGCTGCTGAGCTCAGCCTCTTTTGAAAGTCAACATAAAGTGGCAGCAGCTTTGGCATCTCCTTGCCCCTTGCAGTGCAGAGCTGAAAGGACTGGTGGCATCTCAGAGGAGAGGGCCTCTACGCCCTTCTGTCCACTAGATGGGCAAGGAAGGTCTTTTGTCCAGCAAGAGCATCTTGGGCTGAGCAGAGATCCACAGGTCCTCTTCATCCCTCTTCTTTTTCTTTTTCTTCTTGTTCCTCTCAGCATTCAGCTGCCCATTGCTGCTGGGGCCACCTTTTTTCCTGCTTTCTCTCCGCCGGCTACAGAAGCAGTAGTGGCAGCAGATGAAAATGAATGCAATGAGGACGACAAATGGCAGACCCAACAGCACAGCCAGGCAGACAGTGTTGAAGATCCCTTCCTCATGCTTGGTACGGATGAGCTCCAAGATGGAATTAAAGAAGGAGCTGATCTTCTGCTCCATGTTGGCTCCCGGGCAGGCTGCCTGTGCTGCTCCCTCTGCTTGAAGATCCCTTGGGATATGTTCAGCTCCTGTAACCAGCTAGTGGGCTCCACAAGCTCTTGGGGATGGTGCCTGCAGAGACAGGAAATCACATGGATTGGGTGCCCACTCCCTCAGCAATTCTCTCCATGGAGCTGCCAGCACAGTCGGGCAGGGTAAGAGGTCTGCTGCCTTGGAGGGGTCTGGGGTTACAAGGGCTGGGCCATGTTGCTGGGCACATCTGTTTGCATGTCCCCATATGAGAAACACCACCTCCCAACCTCTCCAGGGATTCATTCTCTATGGTGGGGATGGGTGAGGAGGGCTTTGGACATCCCTACTTGCCTTAGTAGCTGGCCAAGCACAAATCCTGCCTCGCCTCGCCCCCCCACTCCCCCGACATACATCTCAACCCTTGCTTGGCAGCCAAAGCACGGAGCTCAGCCTTTTGTGGGGCTTATTTCTTAGCAAATGAAATACTGTCTGCAGGATGAGCTTTCCTGTCTAGAAAGGGACATGCCAGGTCCAGACAAAGGAACGCTGCAGAGAGTGGTACTGCTGCTGTTGGAGCTCTGACTCAATACATCATGAGTCTCTGCTTACCCCTGATCCAACCTGGGATGGGGTGTCTGGTTTGGAGAGACCATTTCTCATAGTCCATGGTCTGGGATAGGCAGCTGAGCTGATGCGGGCAGGGCACTGCCCTGTGCCCCGGCAGTGTAGAGGCACCATGCTGAGGGCTGTTCCTGCTACCCCAGCACCCAGGGCACTGCCAGCAGGTTTGGATGGGGGCTGTGGTTAAACTGCCTGGGTTTTTGATGGGGACTATGGTCAGTGGGACTTCAGGTGGTGGTCAGGTGGGTGGACCCTGGCCAGCAGCCTTGCACCAACTGCGATGGTGGGGGATGACGGGGGTTGGCTTGAGATGGAAGAGCTGCCGCCTCTGCGGTGCCTCACCTGGGAATTGCTCCAAGGGTTTGGGTAGGGCCAAGGAGCATTTCTGCAGCCTGACGTAAGGTTTTTCCTCTTCCCTCAGGGAGGGAGAGGTGCTGCTAAGTGGCAGGGCTCCCAGCAAAGCCCTCCTCCAGGGGCAGGGAGCTGCTGCTGCTCATGGCTTTCTTCCTCTCCTGGGGCGAAGCAAAGCTCCCAGGGGTCTGGAGTAGGGCAGGGGGCTTTGTGCCATGAGTTTACAGTTCTCATTCAACATGGGGTTCACTAAACTATGTATTGTACAGATGAAGATATGGTAGGGGCAGTATCAGGCTCTAACATTAATCACTCTTGCTCAGTGGAGCAGTGTCTGCCAGCCTTCAGGATTCAAGCCCCACAGTCTCTTGAAGGAATGATGAAATTCCCATGTGCACAGGAGGGGAAACCAAGGCATTGTATAAGAAGAGCCACCACTTCCATATAATAAAAATCTAAGGGGTAGAGTCTGAACTCTAAAGGTGTCCTGGAAGGCTTGCACCACTTGTCCCCCATGACCACAAATTCCTTAGCTCTCCGTCTGGCAGCACTTAGAGAGCCAAAGCACCTCTCGGGAGGAATGGGAAGGGGACTTCACAAGTGCTCAGATCCTATTAAAAAGAAGGGGTTTAAACTCTCTGGCCCCCACAGAAACAGCCTGACTGCTGTGTATTTATTGTTTTGAATCTCACGAAAGCATAGCTGAACTGGTGCTAATTAGCTGGTGGTTTCTCTTTTGAACATGCACATGGGAAATGTGATGAAAATAGGTGTATTAATTTGTGTGGAAGCCTTTCTGAAAAACTCTTATTTGAGATTAACTAAATGAAAGATAGTGCTCTGGGAGGTGGTTTGGGCTTTAGCTACATGTCTTCATTTAGCCAATGTTTTATGGCTGGATTTTTGTCCAGCCTGCTGCATCTTCCAGTTTCTGCTCGCTAGAAAGGGAGTTAAATATATATACATATATAGATAGACATATGGTGGGGTTTTTTTTGGAGGTAGACAAGCAGGATGGTGGGGAGGCCTGGCCTGCACCCTGGAGGTAGGGATGGTGCTCCAAGAGACAGAAGAGCCTCTTCCAACTCCATCACTGCTGTTGAGCAGGTTTCCAGCCTCAGGAAACCAACCTCTCCCTGCACTGCCTTATTTCCCTACCTGGCAGAAGATGCTGCCACTGTCCCCATCTGAGAAATCACAGGCTGCCACTGAGGGCTTGGTGACTAAAATCCCATTCATCCTCTTCCTATTCCCTGCCTAGAGCCATCAGTGAGCATTACAGACCTGCTTTTGCTCACAGGGGACATAAGCAAGGGATCTCTGGGTGCAGGTCTCAGCTATCTGCTGCCCACAGGCATTACTAGCAAAGGGCAAGTGGAGGAAGAAGTGAAAGCAGCTTCTTAAAACTGCTCCCTGTCCCAACCTTCATCTTCACCAAGGCCTTTTTCTTTGGGTAGCTGTAAGTAAAGGTTAAACTGCAACACAAATAAACAGAGCTCCCTTTTCTCAGCCTGAATCATCTATGTGATGCAGGTTTAGCCATTTATCCATAAATATCCTGACAGCTCATTATCCAGGCAAGAATACTGGATGCATATGGTACACTTCACTCCAAAAAAGAAACAAAAAAACCCAAGCCAGAGACAACAACCGCCTTAATTTCAGACAAAACAGGATGTAGAATTTTATTCCTGCACTGAGCTGCTTTGTATTTATTGCCTCTAAACTTCTGGGCGGGGAAGGAGGCTGGAACTTCCTTTTAAACTTGTAATTAATTGCTTGCAGAGAAGAAAAAATAATGCAGAGCCCTTTGAAATGTTTCCCCTTTAAACCAGAGCTGAATGTAATGCAGAGGCCCTTGCTGCTTGTTCCTGAAGTGCCCAGCCAGGGACTTGTGGCTGCCATGGGCAAGCCTGAAGCAGGATGTGGCTGAGCATCCCTTGCAAGGGGAAGGCAGAGGTACCTGCCACCACCCTGAGCAAGCAGCAGTGAAATCCCAGGGCCACCTTTCAGCATGGCTATGCAGCTGGTTTTCAAATGCCTTTTCTTTTCAGTGTGTGCATCGCCTTTTGTTTTGTACATGAAGGGATGTCTGTGTATTCAATAAAGGCGTTCTTCAGTTTAATATAAAAAAAAAGGGGGATGGAGGAGGGGAAGTAGAAAAACTGGTGCTTTTTTGATCCAGCAACCCCAAGGGAAGAGGGGTTACCCAAGGCCACCCATCACTAGCTGAAAGTCTGCATGCACAGTGAGAGCTGCATTTAGGAAAGAATCTGTGCTGCTGCTCAATTTGGTGTGACAGCAACACCTCCCCTTAGAGAGGGGACAAAGGGGTAGAGCTGCGTCCATGCTGTGGCCCACTATGGGTGTGAACCGTGTGCCCAATGCACATGGAGTTCCATCTAGGAGGTCAGCTGTTGGGTTTTCTTTTTTTTTTGGATCAAGGTATGGGACCAGGAAACAGGGCCAGGGAGGCACTGGGAGTTAGGGCAGCATCTCAGGTGGGGCTGCTAAGTGCCCTGCTAAATGAGCTCTTTGGTTTTGGGTAGCTGGTACTGGCAGCAACTCAGGGTGAAGCTGACATGGTAACTTGCTTGGGATATCCTACAGCCAGGGATAGATGGCTCGGCCTGATGGCAGCTCTGCATGGCTGGGGTTTGCGCAGCTTGTGTAAGTTTTAATTGAACTTGGGCATCCAACATGAGGTTCTTTAATCCATGCTGGCTCTGAAAGAGCCGGTTTTCAAGGGTGGGGAACACCTGCCACTCCTCCAGTTACGGGCAGCTGTGGGTGGAAAACAAGCTCCTTTTGAGGGCCCGCTTGGGATGGCACAAACCATTGGTGTGCCTGGCCTGCCTGGCTGAGCTGGAGGGGTAAAAGCTGACAGCCTGAGCATGGGGAAGACAAAACAGAGGGGTTGCCTTGGCAATGCTGGCTTGCTCACATCCTGCAGAGCAGGATGTGCACTGCAGAGCAACCGCAGTGGCTGATGATGAAGGTAGAGTTCTTGGAAAAGTTGCAGTTTGCTTAAAATAGGGGCAAAGGGCTGGAAACTGCTACGCAGGGGTCACTGTGGCAGAGGGGAGAGAGATGGAAATTTTTAGGGCCTGATTTTGCAAGTCCTTTAGGCTTACACTCAGCAGACTCTTATGTCTGTGCGAAATTCCCTCCAGCCTAAGAAAGCTCAACCTGCTACTTTGGGCTGACATGCAGCCTGGCTCAGGTGGGAGCAGAGCTGCTCTAGGGAGCATCTCCCTGCATCCATACTGAAAGCAGGGGCAGCTCTGGAGACCAACTAACCTACAGCTCATGACTTCTGGGATTTGGCCCTGATATTTCTAGGTTATTTAGCTCCTCCATGCTTGGTGTCCAGCTGCAACTAGGAGTTGGGAAGGTGACCCAAAAGCATCTGACCTGCTGCCACCCTCACTTCCTTAATGTGCATAAGCCCCCACTTTTGGTGAGACCTCACTTCATACAATTGATGCTACAGTGGAAAGCAGTATTAAACTTGACTACTTTATGTTACTGGTTTTATATCAGCTTTATATCCATTTTCCACTGGCAGTTACAGCTACAGGTCAGGCTAGGAGAGGCTAACTTCTCTGTTGGAACCTGCAAGCTCTCCAGTACAACTAGCAGAGACACAGTTACACGAGTGACATCTATTTTCCCATATGCACCTGCAGACTTAAAGGAAAGCTGGATGAAACCTGACACTGAGGGTGAGCAGTTTCCTTAGCTGGGACTGCACATTACTATTTTGGAAATAGTGAATAATGAGAGTTTTGCTGCTGGTCTCCCAGAACTCACAGCAAGCCTCTAGAGACCTTCCTCAAGCGTTACAAAAAACCACCACCACCAAAAGCCACCACCCAACAAATGAAACCAACTAAAGCTTCATCTTATTCCCACCACCACCAAACGTTCCAGGCAGAAGCTGTGTGTAGATGTTTTCATTCCCTCAAAGTGAGGAATTTGGAAAACTACTGATATGAGTGTTGGATAACAGGGTTAAAGTGAAACTATTTTGCAAGCTGCTGCCTAGAGCCTGCTCTGCCATCTGCATGTGCCTGGCTGCCACTGGCCCAGGAATCAGTGCAACTCCTGGCCAAAAGACCAGTTTT